AGAGATCACGAGGATCGGTATGGCACTCTGATGCACAATACTGCGGTGTGGAAGGCAACGGGAATAAAATAACGTATCACACAATTAAATGACGGCGTCCTCTGATGTGTGTCGTTTAGCCTTAGACATTATTTGTCTTATTGTTAAATTCCCTTAAAAAATTCGGTAAATATTTACACTGATGTATTTCAAGTGTTAACACTCCATTACATGCCAACATTCAAAACGCATTAGAAATGTATCTTCCTACCTAAAAACCTGGCATTTATTTTTATGCATCATTAACTGTATATTTACACATGTATATGTATAACGTAGTATATACGTAGATGTATAAATATATGTAGATTCAGATGCAAACGTTATCANCAAATCGTACTACAAAAATGGTATCGAAAAGTTGGAGGATCGCTATAATCAGTGTATCACCCTTGAAGAGAATTATGTTGAATAAAAAAAACGAATTTTGCAAAAAAAAAATGTGTTTTACTATTTTAGGCCGGGAACTTTTCAATTGACCTGTTATAACGTTAATGACTTTGGAACCCTAGACAGTACTCGGTTTATTTGCAATGATTTTTATGCTTGTATTATGTGTCCCATCCGACAAAGTAGAGTTGGTGGATCGGCTTGCATAGTTTCGATGATTTAGGGAGCCGGACCATAGATTCAACCATAAGGGGGGGATTCCTAAAGAGAAACCGGAGTAAGACAAGTCCCTGAAAGAGGACAGCAGCTCTTTCAGTAATCAGGGTGGCAGAGATCACGAGGATCGGTATGGCACTTGGATGCACAATACTGCTATGTGGAAGGCAACGGGAAACCACCACATTATGATTCCGAGAATATCGTATCACACAATTAAATGATGGCGTCCTCTGATGTGTGTCGTTTAGCCTTAGACATTATTTGTCTTATTGTTAAATTCCCTTAAAAAATTCGGTAAATATTTACACTGATGTATTTCAAGTGTTAACACTCCATTACATGTCAACATTCAAAACGCATTAGAAATGTATCTTCCTACCTAAAAACCTGGCATTTATTTTTATGCATCATTAACTGTATATTTACACATGTATATGTATAACGTAGTATATACGTTGTTTTTCTATTTATTTTACCCGCAGAAGTTGTTCCTAACATATATATTAAAAATGTCATAGATTTTTCTTATATTAAATCCTAAAAAAATTTGTGGACCGAGACTGGTCTAGAGATGTTTTCAATTGCGTCAATCTTAAGAACATGCTTTGCTTTTTTCGGAAGTACCTGTAACTCTTGTTTGATCTAATACATGAAGGTCGAAGGTGGATTGTTTTTATCGCTCTTATCGCGAATTAAATAAAGCATTTGTGACAATTCTGTAATACACTTAAAACCTGTTTGGAAAAATTGATGCAACATTTTAAAATAAGGGACTATCCGTATATTACCTTAAGCCGAAAGAAGGGAGGGGAGGTTTTGAGATAGTGTGAGAAATTGTGACATGGGGGTGAAAAAGGTCTTGGGGTAATGTTACGTTTTCATAAATATTTTTGGTTCTCAAAGACCTACTAAGCTATATACACGTATATAGTTAATGGACGTCCCCTTAGGTATGGANATTGTGTTTGTAGCAAAAGATATTAATTTTTTCATCATTTTTTTCTTGTTATTGCTATATGGCTACAAGCAAATCGGAAAATATAAGCTTTCATATTGTGAAAATTCTATCCGTGGAAAACGTTGAAAATTTCCCATTTTATCACTTACGTAGGATTTTACTTTGTTATGACACGGATTGGATTTTATTTTTGAAGATTTATTTATTTACTTACTCCATTCCCTATAAGGGTTTGTTGTTAAAAGGTTTCAATACAGATCTACGTTAGTACCTTACTGAAACCACTTTTTCTATTGTGTAATAAACTGTTTTGTCGTAGACCATAGGCAGCCAACCAAATAAAATTAACTTAATGTATAATTATTATTTTGTTAATACATGTATGTAAATAGAAGTTGTTTTATAATTTCTCCCATGCGTGTGCGATTTTTGAACTAATTATAAAAGGCAGTGGATAAAGGGTAGCGCAACAAATTATTTGTTCTTTTAACAGAGGAATTTTGTTTTTAAACCCGTTAAGTCTACTTATATCGTATTTCATTCTGATATAAACGAATAGTGGCGTTTTAATTTTCTTGCGGTGCATATTTCACCATGCTCGCCCTCACAAACTCAATAAAATTGCATCTCGGAAACTGTAGCTTTCGATAGTAAAAATCGGTAAAATAAAGTACATCTAAAACTAATTAAAGTATGTTTTCCGTATTAATAGTACGGCATTTGCGCTAAAGTATGTTTGCTGTTTTCGATATTTTCTCTGAAAATACTATAAAAGTTGCAGTTATCCTTTGATCTTTATTATCCTCGTTTCTCCTAAAGATATGGCCATAAATAAGAGACGGTTCTAAGTATCTGCTCATAATCATAACAAAATTATGAAGTTTCTTAAAAATGTAGAAATGTTGCAGAAATCAATTATTGTTGTGCTGGCTCCTTAGTAATTGAAGAGAGATAATTATATTCTGCAGTTTGCTTCCTTTGTAGACACAGACGGGAATGGAAAATGTATAAGATTTAGGTTTATCACCAGTTAATACGATATGCATTTACTCTTAAGTTTTCAGTTAAATACACAATTAACCGTTAGTATATAGGCATTGTTAAACAGGGGGTTCGAATTTTCTTTTGTCAAAATAGCGTCATTTTTCCATCTTGACGGTTATTTTAAAATGTCTACTTTAATCTCACTGGATACTATGAAAAAAAAAATCGAACCTCTGGTTAGTAGTCTACATAGTCAGTGATTAATTAGTGACTAATTATAAGACTGGTTTCAGCTGTCTAGGATTTTCTTAACTGATTTTACGGTTTTTGCATGATACTTCAAATGAGATGGTTTTTGGGTTTTCCGGGCCGCGGCTAATGTTTTGATTTCACGGTTAATTTTCAGTTAATTATCCTATAGTTTATATTTTTGCCTGCTAATCTTGTCATACCAACTTCAAAGAGGTTTTCGTAAGAGATAGTGTTAAACGCTTTTATTATACATATTGAACAAATGTACCAATATTAATCAAATGGATCTCTGCCTTGTACCGACTTTACCACTCACTAATCTGTATTAATTTACATTGTACTATTTTGAAGGCAGGAAAAGTCCAGAGCAAACCTAATTATAAGTGATAAGAGAAAAATTAGCCGGAGATTGTTCCAGTTTAAATATGATACACACGTCCTAATTTTAACCAGTTTTAACAAGTTTTATATTTGATGATAACTTTGTTATTTTACTTCTACAAAAATGTGACAATATTTTGTGTTTCTTAATAAAAAGTTACATCATTACAAATACCTAATACTTCATTGCTAAAGAATGTTTGTTTTACGTGCAAAATTTATTTTATTGTTCATGAATAGGAAAGAATTAATTGAATACTAAATTAGTTTTGTTGTCATTTTAATTAATACCGTACTATCTGGTAGAAAGAATGTGTTATATCATTTGCGGTATTTTATATATTGAACAAGATACAAAGAATGCGGCGTAATAAGCTAAAAATTAAAAATTGCATTCTTGGAATATTATCAGAAGTAATAACTATAGTATATAATATTGCTATAATGGATACAGGGTTTTTTGAAATTAGTAGCGAGATTGTACGAGAAAAAACAAGAAAATTAAGTTAATGTTTGTATGTCCTAAAATTTACCGTTTTTCTAGAAAAAAGTAAGCGAACGTGTAGATAAATGTAATTCCGGTCCTGGAATGAAATGCGACAGTGCAACGTCGTATTCAATCAGCTGGTAATTAGCAGCATCCATGTTATATTTCTTTTGCATTTTAGTACTCATGCATTGTTTGTTATTTGTTAGATTAGATTAGAGATGCATCATTGACTATGTTTATGTTACAACCAGTCTAATAGAAGTTCTTTGTTATTTTAATGTTGGAGACTCTTGTATGTATGTACGAACTGATTGGAAATAGGTATGTGTGTCACTGTCATAGGATAGGTTAGTGTAGGATTAGTAGTTGTTACAATGGTGTTTAGTACTGCAGAAGTTTGTGACATGATACTAATTTACGGATAATGTGAGTACAGTGTTAATGTAGCGGTCGAATTGTATGGTCATTGATATCCCCAGTGAAGCTTCCTCATCGGCAAATCGTCTTAAATACGGTAGGTAGGTGCGAATCACCCACAAAAAATAGTTAAAACACATTGCTAATACCTCAATGTTGTTTTGATAATTTACCTTATAATAAAATTACAATTACAAAGTTTTTTGTTAGCACCCTCTACAGCTTGCCACTTATTTCAGAAACACCCTGTATATAGATCTAGCATAGCTATGTTTGTAAAGGACAATGGTGTGTATATAGAAGGGATAGTCAATGATGGAATGTTTCGGAATTAACTGACGATTGAAACGTCTAACTAAATGATGGAACTCACTGCATTCTATAATCCTAACCCTCAGTAATCCATGTTACGTTGTAATCAGGGCAAAATTATAGGAAATTCCCAGGCAGTATAAACCAATATGGCGGTTAAGAATTGATCCGAATTAGTGAATCTCTACTGTAATAATGAATTAATTCCGTTTTTATTTTAATCGAATTTAATTTTGAAATCGACGGTTATACATACATATGTAGTGTAAAATAGTCCCTTATATCATACAAGTATCAACCCAAAAGCTATGATAATAAAAACTTTGTAAAACAACCGTGGACCGAAAAAACTTTACAGAAAAACAATATAGAATAACTTGTAACCGATGTGATCTGACCGGCATAATAATACGACTCAGATAAATATTAAATACTTAAATAGTAAACTTCTGGTTCGCATTCTCTCGAAAGCAACATAATAAGAAAACAAACCGACGCTTGCTTGACATTTAGTATTGAGTCGAATGTGTATTTAACGTCTGCCTTTTCAATTTTCAGGTCACGTTCTGGAACTGGCCACCCAGTCGGAGAACATCACTTTGCAGTTGTTCGCTCAAGTGTACCAACAGATGGCGGTATTGTCAAAAGATCCGATTAGCGACCTCTATCGAGACGTCAGACGTTCTGTTCAGATAAATTCTTCACAAGATGCTCTTTCGACTGCCAGTAACGTTTTGAAGGAAAGCGTTTCACGATTCTTCGTTGACTTGTTTCCTCTCGTTTACCATCACATTTTGAGCACACTGGCGAGAGATTTCTCATACGACTATAAAGTTTGTGTGAAGATGACATTCTCTGAGATACAACCCTTCGGAGATATTCCACGACAGCTTGCCCAGTCGTTATCTAAAAGTTTAGAAGCCACCAGACTTCTTTTACAAGCATTCGACGTTGGGGTAAGAAATTACTTACACTCTTTACTTTATTTAATTTTCTATTTTAAGCCCCAACCATTTGGCCAACATTCAAATCACGAAACGGCAAATGGTATTATATTGGTACAAATGATGAATATTTTAAAGCGCGAACATACTTATATTAACGAATATTTTTGAAGTGACCACTTCACCTAATAAAAATCTGCTATGTGTTTCATGATTCATTTAATTGCAAAATATTTATAATTCATTCAGTTGTTCAGTTCATAAATTATAAAAACCATGTAAAGATGAGGGACTAAAAGATAAAATATAAGCACAGCTGAAGTCCACCACCTACGAATTTCAGAACAAAGAGTACCGACTAGATAAATGTAATTTTTAGGAATTTACAATTTTTATTAGGTAGTAAAAAAAGTGATAATTTTGAATATTCTGTTTTTAACTACCACAAGACTACTTTGATTATATGGTGTTGTGAAAATTGATAGTTTTATTATGCTTAAGTGTCAATTTTCTATTTTAGTTGACTTTTATTTGTTGTCTTTAACGTGAAAAAAAGTTTCCGTTATTTTTCTCTGGACTTGCGCAGTATACCACCCAGTACATCGAAGACGCGACAGTACAACTGTAGGGATAGATATACAGGGGCAAAAGATTAGTATGCTCAGATTTACAGATGATATAGTAGTATTAGCATCTAGCAAGGAGGAATTAGAGATAGCTTTAAATAAAATGGAAGCGGTAGTGACAAAACAGTATGAAAATAAATAAAAGTAAAACAAAAATAGTGTTTTGCAACGGAAGGAAAAATAGACAAAGAGCGAATATAAAGATAGGAGACGAAAAATTAGAAGAAGTGGCCGATTAGGTGTCTAGAAAGTCAGATAAGTCAGGACGGAAAGAGTAGTAGAAACGGAAGTAGGAGGGGTTGAGGTGGACCTAGATTAGATTACTGTTCGCAAATAGTTAAGGACATGGGTTGCTCTAGCTTTAGGGAAATGCGAAGATTAGCTTAGGATAGGAAAAGTCTTAGGATTGACGACCTTATGATGATGATGACTATACCCAGTAGGATTCAATGCGTTTTCACATGTACTAGTGGTGACTTCAAAGCTTTTACTATATGCAATCATCTTTTTAATAATGCAACGTGGTATAGCACAATTCGTACAAATTCTCTCAGCCATCCCTTCGTACAAATAATAAAAAGTAATGTAAACCCAACAAATCCAATTTAAGACTTTGTTAAAAAAAATTTGAGTGTATAGTTAATTCAGAACAGTCGTCAAAAACAAAAAACGCAAATGTTTTCATACAGATATGGTTTAAAAAAGTGTGTTCTATACACCAAATCATGCACATTCCCTGAGGCAAAGTGAAACGAAAAATACGCTAACAAGAATTACAAAGATAATATCTATAATATGTAACGATAAATATAAGCAGTATGTCGCTAAAGATGTGCAAAATGGTTTCTGAAATTTAAATACAATTTTTGATTATTATTTCAAATGTAAAATACAGAATAGATTTCCCTTTTGTATTTTAAATGCTAAATGCAAAATACGTATCTTCAAAATACTTTTTTAAATAAGTGCTTTTTTGTAGTACCTATTTAATTTTCTACATTTACTCAAGTATAAAATATTTTTTAGGAAAACCTGCTAGGCATTTGCTCATTTTTTAGTTTTTCTAGACTAATAGTGATGTTTGTATTACATCACCAGCTGCAATGATTGAGTATGATTCATATTTTTCTGTTTGAAGTGATCGAGATATAGTTTTTTCTATCTTTATCTTATAATTTCTTCAGTTCAGCAACAAATAATTCTCCTATATGGTTCCTTATTTACCTTTGTCGCCCGTTTTAATTGGAAAAAAGACACTGATGCCAAAATGGTTTGTTTACCACGAAAGATTAGAGTCAAAATAGGGTTGCAAATAATTTTATTGATATAAAATCAACATCAATCATTTGATATCAAAGTATAAACAACCCCATTTTGTTTGCGATCTTTTACACATTGTAATAAGAGAAAGAAATGGAATCCATAGTTTCTTTAGCTTGGGGTTCATCTAATAAGTGAAGTTTTTCGAATTTTAAAAATTTTTAATGGGGTAGCAATTTTTCCCGGCGGGGCCACATGCGGCATTCCTGATGATGCGGAAATGCGACAAAGTGTTATATGCCTCTTTCTTGCCCTAGGAGGCAACCTCCTGGGAGCCCACAAGGGGTAGTGTGCTAATACCCACTTGGGGTCCCTACCTGCACTTCCCTCAAAATTTTCGTCGGAAATTTTTCTAATTAAGAATGAATTGAAATTGAAAATTAAACGCTCTTTTTTTTTCTGCACGAAGTATGTTGTAGCTTGTTTCAAGGCGAATAATTTGACTTTTTTGTGTTTCCTATAACCTCTAGAAGTGCGGTGTGATATACCCGGGAATTTAAATTAAATTTAATTAAAACAAATGACACCGATATTTGATCAAGACAAAACAATTTTTGCTCAATTCTTGAAGATTTCTCCCTAAAATATATAATTTTTCAATTTTCTAAAATTTATTTTGTTTGCTTGTCTTAGTAATTGTCGTGTTATTCAAGCAGACAAATAAGGGTTCATTCTGCGTATATTGTGCATGGAAACCAAAATCACATTTATACCATCAAGTTTCGTTAGGATTTAAATTTTAGGAAGAATATTTCGCTGAGATCACAATAATCCGCTATAACTCGGCCCTTATCCCTTTATAAACCAATTAAAACTTTAGAAGCCTACTTCACGCTGAATATAATTTTCTCGAAATTTGAGAACTTTAGAAATATCCAATCTCAAAAGTCTTATTGTAATATTTATTCACAATTGTTTTAATAGAAATGTATTGCTATCTAATGAATTCGGATGTAGGGGAGAACGCTATTCATAAGAATGGAAAAAATATAGTGTAGATCAAAATCGATTTTGTACCTTTTCTGTCAAGAGCTTTAAACTGTATTATATTACTTACACCGGCGTAGATTAGTTAATCTGTACATAGCATTTTATATTCAAATGCCTCAACCATATAATCCAATTAAAATGCATCAAAAACTCAAATTTTGTATTATCTGTTTATATTAAAAAGAGCAATAAAAAAATTTAAAACCCTTAAATACTTTTGAAATTAACTTTCATGTTTCGTTTCCCGCTTGCTGAATCCTGGTCTACAAAAAATTAATCTTAGAAGTGACATGTACTATTCGTAGAATATAAATTGACATTTTTTGTCCAACCGATAATTGTGCAACTTAATATATGAAACACTTTTTTAAGAAACTTTCAATAGCGGTTAGCATTTAATAATTTTCAATTATTGATTTCACTTTCACCTACTACAAATTACCTCAAATTAATAAGGAAAAATTGTTGTTGCTATTTCATCCTCGCCGGGAATCGAACCCGAGTTCCTGGCTTTACGTATCAATGCTCTAGGCACCAAGGCACAGGTTAGGTTATAGAATCGTCGAAATTAACGTATACTTATATTAATATGTATATAAAAAACTTCACTTATTCAAATTTGATGATTAGTGTTATTCGGTATGCTATCCTCAATTAAAATAATGACATCTGTATAACACTTCCGGTTTTACTGGAAGTTGACATCAAATTCGTTATTTTAAATGGAACACCCTGCATATTATGACGGTTTTGAATTGTACTTATGATTTTAGGTAAACTTTCGTATGGTTTCGCTACTTCTAAAATTTATTTTCATTTTCCATTCTTAATAACAATAATATACAATAATTGACACTGAGAATCAAAATATTTAGTTGCTAAACTGTCATTATAGATGTTTGAACGGCAATAATTAATTTGTATTATTTGTTCTGAAGTTAAAGTAGAAAATTAAACGATTTTAGTTATTTTCACAAAGAGCAAGAAATAATTTGAAAATTAGAAGAGATAAGAGGGTATAGGGAACACTGTACCATTGAATGAGAATAAAATTTTGCATACTTCTATGAAAATACATACAGGGTATTCCATTTAAAAAATGGACTTGGATTGTTTGAAGTTAACTAAATTCGCCATTAAATATCTAACATCCTGTATGTAATTAACCCACTTTGAAACTATGGGCAGGAAGCTTAAATGTACAGTTATCTCTTCTGAGAGTATTGTTGCTCCAGCTTTCTTACTGTAAAATTAAAAAAAGTGTACGTAAAATCATAAGTAGAATTCAAAACCGTCATAATATACAGGGTGTTCCATTTCATATAACGAAGATGTCAACTTCCGGGAAAACCGGAAGTGCTACATAGATGTCATTCTTTTAATTGAGGGGAGCATACCAAATAACGCTATTGTAGAAATTTTCAAAATTTAAATCCAAGTAATTTCTGAAATATTCGGGTTTGGTTCCCAGCGAGTATGTGACAGCAATTATAATTTTGAATAAATTTCTCTCTAATGTTTCAATATTATTAATTGTGTAACCGTTATGGAATAAAAGTTATCTTATTGTACACTTTAAACTTCCCAAAGAAAGTCAGTTACAGACAGTTTCCTTTTCAGATGGAAGTTCTTAATACAACGGATCTTCTATTTTCGGAGGACGGCGGCAAAAGGCACGCAGAGTGTCACAATGCCCTACTAAAGATGACGTATTGTCCTAAATGTCAAGGTTTAGGGGTGAATACGAAGCCGTGTTCGGGATACTGTTTAAACGTGTTGCGTGGTTGTTTGACAAAGTATGTGACGGAATTAGACGCGCCGTGGAACTCTTACGTCGAAGCGTTAGAGAGACTAATCAGTGCAATAAAACAACACAACAATGAGGCTGTTAACGCTGATATGGTGATTCGCACGTTAGATACCAAAATATCGGAAGCCATTATGCATGCCATGGAAAAGGGACGTGACATCGACATTAGGGTAAGTATTTACATTTTCTAACACCTTTTTAATACAAAATATAACAACTGTGTTTTGTATTAAATAATAATAATGTGACATGATACGTATTTACGCGTTTGAACCATATTGCTGCTGTACGGTCGAAATCCTCGATTTCAAGGAAGACAATCCCCCAAAATAGTACACGCGAAATAGCAGAGAACATTGGCCCCTCTGTGTGGCAATTTTTAAAGGAATCATTGCTGCATCCTTATCATTTGCAGCGAGTGGAAGCCTTGCTTGAACAGTGCTACTTAGCCAATTTTTTTTCCATAGGGTGCTTTTTACAGACAATTTTGCTTTACGTGGGACGGAATTTTGAATTTTCCCAATAATCAGATGCGGTATATGTGTAGTGCGAAATTTTAGAAGAGTTATTTGACTTTTTTGGTAAATTTACTTACACTAAACCCCCAAAAAGGTAACACACCTTGGCAATGCCTCAGTGATGGCGTGGTAATTTGCCTTAATAAAATTACGATTATCCATATGATGATTATGTATCCATTAATGTTTAGGTAACTTATTTTTTTTTTGTTTTGTGTTCTTACATTTTCGTAGTGCTACCTGTAATGTACTTATTTAATTTATTTAGTCTGAACATCGTGAGTGGTACTAAATTATTTACGTTTATTTGTTTATCTTAGGCGTTCGATGGGCGTTGGATAATCGGCAATGTTTACTTCTCCATCCATGTAGCTGCAGACTTTTTATCGCACTACCTTATTCAGTATATTAGACACCTTTGTTGCCAATTCACGTACGGGACTAGCTTCAATTGTAAACTATTGTGATTTTCTTAAAAAAAATTTTTTGCCCTTAACCACGCTGCTAAACACACCCTGCGATTGTTTATTGAATTTAGTTTACACCCTCCTAAGCTCAACACTTATTTCTGTTTCATCTTGTATAATATAAAAGCCGATTTTTTCCTTAATTTAATAAAGACAGAAAAAACTTTATAAAGTAATTCTGCCTTTATTTATCATTTAAGTATTTTGTCAATTTTGTAAAACAAGTGCTGATGTGGCCTCTTTATTCTGTAATCCTAACTTGGGATTCCAAAGTATTTTTCTTTCGTGTATTTTATAAAATAAATTCCTAAGCGGACCGAAGCAGTACGATTCTGATTCTAATTTAAATTCATCTAGGTTTTGTGCGAGCTATTTAATAGAGTGCGGAGATCTTTATTTATTAAACTGAAGGGCATTCTGATTGCTGTGTTTAACCAACTGTGATGATGAATAATAACCTTTTGTAGGTCGTTCTCATTTTGTCGGTGATGCTTATAAATATTACGTGCTATTTTAAACCTACTTTCATCCCATCACAAACTGTTAACATAACTTGTCATTTTGTGATCTTTATGTAAATTTTAATTAATATTATAAATCAATTTTCATATTTTCCACAATTGAAATTTTTCGAGTATCAGTATAATTTGAAATGAAAATTGATGTATAATATTAATTAAATTAAACTTTACATAAAAATTCTTAAACTTACTATACAATATATTTTCAACTCTTAAGCATGAAGGTCTAGTTAGAGACATATTAGAGGCAGAAACGGCAGTTAGGAGGGGTAGAGGTAGACGTAGATTAGATTACCGTTCGCAAATAGTTAAGGATCTGGGTTGTTCTAGTTTTAGGGAAATGCAAAGATTAGCTCAAGATAGGAAGGAGTAGAAATGCGTGTCCAACCAGTCTTAATTCTGACGACTTTATGATGATAAACATTAAGAAATTTCAAATGTTTGTAATGGAAGAAGAATATGCATTGGTCTCATTACCAAAAAATCATAATAATCACATGAGTTGAATTTGAATAGTGCAACCTATAAGAAATATAATATATATTATTATACAGTAACGGTTCCTTATTCACGGTTTCCTTATTCGCGTTTTCATTATTCGCGGATGCAATTGATAAACAGAAAAGGATTCGATGTCATTTATTAAGGGGATTGACAGCAATAGACCGCTCATGCCTATTGCGAATTTTTCCGAAAATATGAGTTTCTATTCTAAACATTGTTATTTAACGTTGCGAGATATATAACTCATTTTTTGTGTGGTAAGTGACAAAGGTTCACACTAACTCGGTACGTTTTTAGTTTTCAATAATAAGGTCAATAATAGCTTTTACAGGTTTTAGGACAAAGCTTTATCTATTTTACTACAAAATTTCAAACCTCTGTTCCAAACATTAAACTCATGATATCTAGAACCGATAAGCATGTTTTTACTTTACGGCGCGTGTGCTACTGAATCCCCTTAATGTATCGGCATCATTTGACTACTGTACTGTTGGTACGTGCCGAGGCAGCTTTTATAAAAAATGTAACCGAGTGGACTAATTTAAAAATTCAAAACAGGAAAGAATCACTAAATTTTTTAAACTCTTGCCTAAAGCTGATTATAACGGTTAATTTTAATTACGAATTTATCAATACATTGATTTTATGTTGATACATATCGGTTTTATTTTGGAACCTTAGAACGTATCCCCTATGATTCCATACTAATTACCATTCCATATTCACGGTTTCTGTATTTGCGGCATATTTATGGAACGTATATCCCTCGAATAAAGAGCTTTTACTGTAATTTTATATAGTTGCCATCTCATTTTCTATTGATTTAATGCCAATCCGTCAAGTCTGTTTTGTTTCATACCTGATCTTAAATAATGTTCTATTATTTTTAATTTGGAGACGTTTTTTCTCCAGAAGCTACAGAAATGGGTAAAGTCAGTACTAATCTTAAAGCTATTAGAGCATTAAGAAAAATTCGTGGGCTTTACTGTAAGGACTAATCTTTGGACTAGAAATTATAAGACATCAGAGATTTTTTTCAAAGGGGAAACTCTTCCCTAGAGTCATTACAGTATCTGGTAACGATTTCCTGGTCGGTGAACTACATATTCAAAAATACCAAAATAATAAATAAACCAGGCAATGAGGCAACTAGAATATTAAAGCACTTAAAAAAAGTAAAATGGTTTAATAAGTTACATAAAGTATTAAAAAATACATAACACCTGCATAATAATTAATATTATGTAAACACATAAGATATATAAAACAGTCATATTTGAAATATCGCGTCTACTCTCATTTAGAAATAATTAATAATACATGCATTTAATTAGTAACACATTTGTGAGCTAATGTATTCGTTTTTGCACAGCTTATTGTAATTGAATTTGAAAGTAATTAAAATTTAATGGTAACTTATTTATATTAATAAAGTTTCCCCGTAATACCTTAAAGAGTGCATCGTTCAGTTTAACGGATCGCTGAAATTTGCCGCTTTTGCTTTTCATATAATTAATTTAGTTTCCAAGAAAATTCGTCGCTTATGAAGTTACCTCCCATAAATTAACTTTGCACATTATAGTGTTGAATAAGAAGCTGTGCGACAGCCTATTCGTTTATTATTGTAGCTATTCACAATATTAAATTATATTAAATTGTAGGAAGATATTAAATTTTTATGTTTTAAAAGAAAAGCAGCTACGGAGTGCTGTAGCGCCACTATTATAGTTGGTAAAATTTGAGCGTGCTCGTAGCGCCGCGACAATTTAATAAATATGTAAACCTGTGTATAAAGGATTTGTTTTATATTGTATCTTTGGTTTATGTAATTCAATCGAATAATATTTTCAACTTAAATTTTAACTTTACACTTTATTCAGGCTTAGGACTGGCAGTTTTGTGCAAACAAAACCGGCGTGTTTAAAAGTATAAAAATTAGAAACCTTCGTCATAATATGTACAGTATTAAGAATCCTAATTTATAAAAATGCAGAAGTTGCATTTGAGTCGTACTCATTCTATTGTAGCGAGCACGAGTGTGTCTGTGTGCGATCGGGCACATGTGTGCGTGAACGGCTTATCGATTCGCCGACTAGCCGCGAGCGCCTTTCTTCACGTGCACCGTATTTGTTCATGTGTGTGTCGTACCTGCGTTCTGGAAAAGCAGTTCAAAGAAAATACAAACTATCCGGATGTTTCCAGCAGGTTCCCGAAACTAAACAAAAGAGTATTTAAAGGAAGAGACACGATCACTGAGAAGAGAAGAAATAAATTGACCGTTACAGAAGTGAATCGAGAAATAAATTAACAGTGATAGCAGTGAAATAAACAGCGCAGTGAATAGTGATATATCAACAGTAGTGTAAATAAATAGTTTTTGTCGTTATCAGTCTTAGAAGTTAATTTTGTTAAACCCACGAACATTACACTATTATACATAAAGTTACACTATTATACTATTAACTTCTGGGTCTATGCCAAAGCTCCCAAACATTTTCCCAGGTCTTTATTAACTTTCTAGATTAATTTTCATTCTTTCATCTTTTTTTACGTATTCAATGCTTCTTTTATTTTGCAAATAACTAATTTATTTCACTAACGATAAGTAAAAGTGCTTCACATAATTTTCGGCGGAGTTGTCAAGACATTCGTGATCTTCTTTTACAAATTATGACGAAGTTTTTTTAACTTTTATAGTTTTAATCTCGCTATTTTTGTTGTCCAAAAGAATAATAGAATAAACTAAACTAAAACATATAAAGAATGCTAAAGCTGTTGTACATAAGCTTACATTTTTATTAATTTGTCGCGGCGCTATGGGCGCGCAAAATGATCGCTGCGTTACTTACACGACAGCCAACTACAAATACAGTAAAATACTTTATAAAGCGTGCACTACATTAAATTTGTTTTATAAAAATTACTTAGAAAGTTAAATATATTGTCCCTGTCTCAAAGAAGTTTTCAAATCTTTCATGTTAACTTATAAACTTTTATAAAAATATTACAATATTTTTGTAACAATGAATTAAAAATTGTTTATTAGTTTCGCTTGGGACAAAGCTTGATAATTTTTCTTTTGTGAAAAGGTATGAATTATGTGTGGATTACCGACTTCATTAAAATAATTTTGTTGCTAAGGGCAAGAATTTACTTACCC